TGACTCTTAAACCAAGACTTTAAAATCTTTCCTGGATGATTAATTTCTATTATCTGTGAATATGTATAGTCTAAGTATGTTTTCTCAAAGTATGGACTAGTTCTATTACTGTATGCCCCCTGACTTGCATTGGAGAAATTTAAAAGGGGGGTTCCAGACTGGAGCGTACACTCACAGAATCCCAGAAGAAAAGGATGCAAGCTCCAGGTGAAAATATAGGTCTTTATTGAAATGCAAATGTGCACAGGGACAGCCTCAAAAATAAGGAGGAGGCTGCAAAGAACCCCATACAAAGCAATTTTTAAAAATACATTTCCAGAATACACATGTCATTTCTCTTCACCAATCAAAGGATCACAGCAAACTTAATACTTGCAACCCAATGTCATCATCCTGAACCAATCAAAATCATTTGACTCTTCAGATCAGCCCTTATCATAATATCATGTGACCACATATAAGCATTTTTCAGTGTCTTTCTTTATTAAGACTTTGACTGATTTTCCTGTTCACTACATGTCCCCCCAATATTCTCTTTCATCTGTCTACAAAACAATTCAAAAATAATCACAATTGCCATGTCTAGCTGATTCTCTTTTCATGCTTACAATGGCCATCATAGAGTCTAACAGTTTATTTTTTTCAGTGTTCTGGATTAGACATTCACTATATACAGTACCTGTTGTCTTTGTCCATGGAGTTTTCTTGGCAGGGATACTGGAGTGGCTTGCCGGTTCCTGCTCCAGGTGGATCACGTTTGGTCAAAACTCTCCACTATGACCTGTCCATCTTGGGTGGCCTTGCACGGCATAGCTCATAGCTTCTCTGAGTTATTCAAGCCCCTTCGCCACGCCAAGGCAGTGATCCATGAAGGGTTCTACTTTCTTGGGCTCCATGATCACTGCAGATGGTGAAAGCAGCCACGAAATTAAAAGACGCCTGCTTCTTGGGAGAAGGGCAATGGCAAACCTGGACAGCATCTTAAAAAGCAGAGACATCACCTTGCCAACAAAGGTCCGTATAGTTAAAGCCATGGTTTTCCCAGTAGTGATGTATAGAAGTGAGAGCTGGACCATAAAGAAGGCTGATCGCCAAAGAATTGATGCTTTTGAATTATGGTGCTGGAGGAGACTCTTGAGAGTCCCATGGACTGCAAGAAGATCAAACCTATCCATTCTTAAGGAAATCAGCCCTGAGTGCTCACTGGAAGGACAGATCCTGAAGCTGAGACTCCAATACTTTGGCCACCTCATGAGAAGAGAAGACTCCCTGGAAAAGACCCTGATGTTGGGAAAGATGGAGGGCACAAGGAGAAGGGGACGAGAGAGGACGAGATGGTTGGATAGTGTTCTCGAAGCTACCAGCATGAGTTTGAACAAACTGCGGGAGGCAGTGGAAGACAGAAGTGCCTGGCGTGCTCTGGTCCATGGGGTCACGAAGAGTCTGACACGACTAAACAACTAAACAACAACAACAACAACAACAACAACAACATACAGTACCTAAAAGCAGCTCATTCAGTACTGTAAAAGGCAGGTACAGGCCGTTTTAGTTTATCTAGGTCAGAGACTCAAGAGAAAATGGAATAATGAAAATACAGTTTTATGAAATTATTATTTTCTCCAATGTTTGTGTCTCTCAGAGAACATAAGAAGAGCTATGCTGGATCAGTCTGAAGGCCTATCTAGTCCAGCAAACTGTTCTCACAGGGATCAACCAGATGCCTACGGGAAGCCTGAGAGCGGGACCTGAGTGCGACAACCCTCTCTTGGCTCCATACATCTTCAATTCATCAACCACTCCCCACCCCATACCACTCATCATCACTAGGACATCACTATTCTATGTTATCCAACATAAAGAGAAAGCAAGGGACCATTATGCAGCTCATTAGCTACTGCCCTCATGGTATCCTAATCTTCAGTGAAAGAACTGGAACTGAAAGACCAATAAAACATGGGGATGTGCTGGAGATAAGTTATAAGCAAGCACAATATGTGAGTCTGCATAATCTATTTTCTGCTTCTGTTAAGCTGGGGGACCTTAATTTATAATTACTGTGCTTTTTGGAGAACGTGTCATTCTGTAAGCACCTGATCCCTCCACTTTAATCCTAGGTATTTTGGTCCTAGAATAACCTTGGTTTCAGTTGAGTTAGAATATTGACAAAGTGTTAAGCCGAATTTTCCCATCGAAGCAAGTGCATTAAACCATGCAGTGAGATGCAAGAATAAACCACGTCAAAAATATTATTATGATCCATGGGCTTTCATATTATAGGGACATTCACTTAAAACAAAAAACCGGTATGAGTAAAAAATAATAATCTTCAGAACAGGATGTACTGTATAGTCAAGGAACTATCTTGAATATAAACACTATTACTATGATAGATTCTGTTTGTGAAACTGGATCACATTTGAGCCTACTCACAGCAAGTAAGACCATGCCTTTCTTTCGATCACCTTGTTTCACTAAATCATTGTGTTTTGTTTTTGAGTACTAGAAGCCAGCTTTAAAGTTATATATATGTAACCACTCTTCAAGCTTAGGTTATGAAAACAAAATTAAACCTTGAACTAGCTGTCATGCTGATGGTTACCTCCTTGCAGCAGTTTATTGGCAACTGCTGTTGGCATGGAAACAGCTTAGTTGAATGCAAACATAACATCCTGATATCATTCATGATGTCACAGACAGTGTAAGCTCCAAGTCTTGGCAAAGTCTGATATAGCTAACAGTTGGACCAAGTCTACACACTGTCATGATGGATGGATGAAGGGGTTTATTTTGGAGCTATATTAAGTTTTCATATGGGTGCAGTTTTGATCTGATCTGCAGATTGGTTTGTCAGCCAGTACCCATAAAAACTGAGGTCAAGGTCAATCAATACTAAAAAGCTTTGCCACTGATTCAAGACATAGCTTTGCCAACGTCATGGAGCAGTCAGTGCAGGAACAGCTACCAGCCCATATTAAGAAAAGCTGGAAAGGAAAACACCTTTATGGCTATCTCCTATCAAGGCTATTACTATTAAGAGAGTTAATATGGACAAACAGTGGGCAGCTTACAGGGAATTGCTGTGGGACACAAACTGAAATCAATGGAAAATATAAGGAGCCATGTTACGGACTGGTTACAATATCATCAGTTACATGAAATGTTTAAATTAGATAGGAAAAAAATGATTTTTCGGACCAAAGCTCACAATTCAAAAAAGAACTTCAACAAAACAAAGAGAAGTTTTTGTCTAAAATGTATAATCTGTTATTAGACTGGGAAACAAAAGATGGGCAATAGATATAGGACACAATATAGATTTTAACCACTGGGAAAAACTGAAAAAGTGACTTGAAGTTTACAGCATGCTATTTTTTGAAGGAGAACTACTTGAAAATGATTCACATGTGGCATTTAACTCCGAGTAGGCTTCCTAAGACGTATAAGGCTGAATCAGGTAAGTGTTGTAGATGCAAAGAGGTGGAGGGAACATTCTTTCATATGTGGTGGACTTGTAAAAGGGTAAAAGAGTATTGGGAAATGATCCATAATGAATTGGGGGAGGGGGGGAATGTTTAAATGTACATTCCCTCCCAAAATAGAGTCCTTTCTGTTGGGGATAATTCAGACTGAAATTCCCAGGTGTCAAAAAAGGTTATTTATGTATGCCACTACTGCGGTCCGTGTTTTGTTAGCCCGAAGATGGAAAACAAGCGAGGTCCCTACCAAAGAAAAATGGCAACGTAAGTTGATAGAATATAGAATAAGAGAACAAGAACATATGTTTAAAAAAGATTGGGAAAATTGCTAAAATGTACAAAACAAATTCTAAAATGTGTTGGAAATGTAAAGAGAAAGAGGGCACTTTCTGTCATATGTGGTGGACATGTACATTGGTAAAGGCTTTCTGAGAAATGATATATAACGAGTTAAAGAAAATATTTAAAAATACATTTGTCAAAAAACCAGAAGCCTTTTTACTAGGTATAATAGGTGAAGAGTTCCCAAGAGAAGATAAAAAACTTTTTATGTATGCAACGACGACAGCGAGAATGCTACTAGCCCAGAGATGAAAAGAAGGAGAAGTACCAGCAAAAGAAGAATGGCAGGTGAAACTGATGGAGTATGCGGAAATGACGAAACTGACATTTCTAAAGACTGGAGTAAATTTGTAATTTATTTAAAAGACCACTGTAAACAGTTAAAATCTTTGGCAGGGATGTAAAGAAACTTATAATGTGAAATTTAAAATGGTAATTATGGTTACATAATAGACAAGGGTAAAAGATGCAGTAAATTTAATCTTAAAGATGGAACCCATGGAGGGAGGGAACGAGGTCTAAGGGTTTGAAAGAACTCTGTATTTTAATGTTTGACATGGTTTTGTTTTATATGTATATTTTTTCAAAAACTTAATATAAATTATTTTAAAAAGGAAAATGTTTATTGAATATATGGGAAATAATTGTGTACAGCTGAAAACGCTGGCAGCATTAAGATAAATTCAACAGTATAAATAAGTTTTGATGGATTCAATAATGGAATACTGAATGGTATAGCTTTTGTAAAATATGCAGGGATTTATGATATGTAAAATGAACCACAGAAAGAGAAGAAGGGAAGTCACTGATATCTTAAGGATGTAAAATGAGTATTTAAAATTGTAAAACAGAATATATATATATAGAGAGAGAGGAGAACAGGAAGTATAGAGCAGTGTTTCCCAACCTTTTTTGGGCAAAGGCACACGGAGGTAGGCTGGTGTGCCGTGGGAGGGAGGCGGGTGACCCGGGCGGCGAGAGGCGGGGCGGCGGCGGCGAGCACACGCGGGGCGGCGAGCGAGCCCCCCCCCACATCCCATCGCCGCTCGCTCCAGTAGGCCGGCCGAAGCGAGCGACGATGGGATGCGGGAGGGAGCCCGCCCGCCACCCCGCGCGCGCCCGCCACCGCCGCCCCGCCCCCGCCGCCCGAGTCGCCCGCCTCCCTCCCACGGAACACAAGGCAACGTTCCGCGGCACACTAATGTGCCGCGGAACACCGGTTGGGAAACACTGGTATAGAGAAAGAGCTTGCTTAATTCCCCATTGTTCCAAAACAAAGGTGAGCTGTTTAGGTGAGATATATATATATGTATGTATGTATATATATTTATAAACTCTGTTTTTCTTGCGGAAAAAAGAAAATGAAAAGTGAGAAAAATAATTAATTCACAATGAGTTGGCAGAAATGTGCCCCCCCCCCGGTGCGGCTGCAAGCATTTTGCGGTTGTCTTATCTGTGTTGCTTGGCAAACCTGCATGTACCACTGGGTAGAAAAGAACTCCAGTTACAGCATTCATAGTCGGGGAGCACAGGAGAATCTGTTGGAGATGGGAGACTGATGGAATGACCCTGTGAAAGCATGGAATACTTTGTGAAGAGCTTGTCTGAGGGATGCTGGACAACTTGCAAGACTTCTGGGCTCAGAGAGCCAAGGCAGCTGCAGAACTTAGCAACCGGGCTTTGCACTTGCTGTGTGGACTAAGGAAGGACTTTGTAAACTAGAACCCTCTCTGGGCTCAGAGAGTAAAGCCTTGTAGCAACTGTAAATAGTGTGGATTATAGCATCTGTGCTTCTGTTTGCCAAGTAAACACCACAGTTGCTTCCTGTGGTGAGCTTAACTGCTTGACTGAATGTCTGTGGTGCCAACAGGCCATTCTGGGCAGCCAAGCCACAACCTGAAAGGGCAGCAAGACTTCTTAAATGGTGGTAGAGTGGAAAACCCTTGACTGCCTTATATTTATTAAAGGTGAGACAGGTTTTTAATGTTTTAATTAGGTTTTTTTTAAGCATTGTTTTGTTGCTTTGTTGTTCATTGACTGGAGCTTCTTTGGCAGGAAGGGATGGATAAAAAATTGATTGATTGATTTAAAAGGTATTTAGATTCTTGCCGTCTGATGAAACCTCAATGTTCTCCTGTCCTTGCTACTCACTCCTCGCCTGCCCCCGCTGAAAATTCTTCAATATCTAGTGACTGACATAACCAGTGGCTAGAAGTCAAGAAAAGAAAAACTTCCTTAGGTGGCAGGCTTCAACCTAGTTATAACAAGCTGTAATGAAATAAAACAGTGAAATCTTTGCATTACATTGCAATTTCAATCAGATGTAACCTAATGAGTGAGATGAGTTCCTCGGCACCAGTGAGGATCAGCTGAGCTTCAATTAATGCACTGATTCAATTAAATAAAGCTTGAAACTCAGAACGTAATCCATGCTCAACCCTTGAGATTGAGTGGGAAGAAAACTAAATAAATAGTTTGTAGCTCTTGGAAAGAAAAGTAATTAATTGAATGTTAAAGGTGATTCCTTCCTACCTTGGCTTTTCACAACTTTAAAGTTACATTTAGTTGCATTTGAACTAAGTATAATCGTGTTTCAGATTACACAGAAAAGAAGAAGAAACAGCAAAGATTTATGCAAGATGAGCTGATTGGCCCAATTCACACCCATCAGTTCTACAAGGGAAAATGAATTGCTGTTTCAATTGCTATTGCCACCAGTTGAAGGAAGGAAAGCTGAGGCTTCACTTTTAAAATAAATATACTGATTCTGATGCTTTGAAGTAAAGCCTTTCCCTACAACTGCATAACTTTTTTTATTTTATTTTTTAGGAGCAATGCCCCAGAAAAAAAATGGAAAAGGCAACCCCCACCCCAAATGAGGCGAGAAATACTAACAATTTTAAAGCTATTATTAAGAAGACACTTCAGCAGCTGATGGACTTTGTAAGTGGCTATTAACTTTTTGTCTCTGCTAAAAGGCTTTTTATAAAAAATGGAGGCAGAATAAAGCGAGAGAAGAGTGATGAAAGTAACATATTAGAAACTACCTAAGAAGCAATGACTAGCAATGAAGGATCATTTGGGGAAAAAAGCAAAGGTTAACAGACTCTCATCCTCAGGTCCTTGCTTTTAAAAATTTGAAAACATTTTAACACCGTAGCCCCTGCCCCCAACTCGCCTTGCATAGGTTTCACTTCACTCTACTATGGGTTTACTGTTAGTTCCTTGTGTAAAGGAGATTTTGGCAACTGAAGTCTGTAACAGTTGTTGATTTCAAAACCCCTGGGAGCAAGGTGAGCTTACCTGCATAGCTTATAACCCAGTGACACTAGTAACTGGTGGCATGTTATGGTGGAGATGCTAACTTCTCAGGAAGGTTGTGATGGTGCTCATTTGGGGAGGAGGAAGCCAACTGCAAGGTCAGCATGGTGGAAACACAGCATTGCAATCCATCCGGCACTCTTCCTAATGCTGTTCTAGATTATTATTTTCTTTTGCAGAGAAACAGAAAGAGAACATTGTGAAACCTGTGGGCACCAGTGCACATCCAAACCAGAACCTCACTTCTGCCTCTCCACATTCTTAATGAAGGCAGGGGCTGAAAACCATTTTTCCCAGCACAGGACAGGTTAAAAGAAGGTTATCAGATATTTTTCAAAGAATCCGGGGACACCTTTTTTTAAAAAAAAGAGAAAAAAGTTATTTAAAAAGTTATTTTTTTAAAAAAATATTAATAAGTAATACCTTCTCTTCTGTGGTCTCCTCTGTTGTGTGGCCTTCTTCTGGGTCCTGGCCTGCTCTCTTGGAGCACTAGCTGCCGTGGAGTAGGCTCGGGTCAGGCCTGGGCTCAGCCTGTGTCCATGCCCTCCCAGTGCTCTCCTACCTCTCCTCCTCAGTGGCAGCGGTGGCAGTGGCGTGGCAAGGTTGGCTCCCCCTCTTTTTTCTCCTTCATCTTTCTCTCTCTTCCTTCTCCTCCTCTCCAATGTCTCCCTGCGTCGGCTCTGGGGTTTTCCTGGCCCCAGAGCACCACTGGGCAACCGCCGTGCACCCGGTTAAATTTGGGTGAAGGGGGGGTGTCAGCAGTTTCCCCAGTTGACGTGCCAGGTGTCCCTGGTTCCCCCTCACCAGTGGTGGTGGCAGCGGCAGCCTCAGCAGCCCAGAGCCAGCCTGGTAGCGCAGTTGGCTCTGGTTGGCTTCAGGAGCTGCTCACTGCCATGGCGCCCGCCATTTTGCCTCGCCGGAAGTCCCCATATGATGTGTCTTGTGTCGTTGAACCAATCACGCAACATTCATTCCCTACTAATAAATCTACAACACTTAAAATATTAATCCGGGTGATATATAATGAGATGAAAAAAAATGTTGAAATATACATTTATTAAGAAACCAGAACCATTTTTACTTGGCATTGTAGGTGATGATATAAACAGAAAGGATTGTAAGTTATTTTTATATGCAATGACGGCAGCAAGAATATTATTGGCACAAAATTGGAAGAAAGAAGAATTACCGACAAAAGAAGAATGGAGGACGAAATTCATGGACTATGCAGAATTAGACAAACTAACAGGAAGAATTCTCAGAAGACTGGAGTAAATTTACGGACTATTTGAAAAGTAATTGTAATGATCAGATTACGCTAGTAGGTTTGCAAGAAGTTTTGTAAGGTGAATTATTTGAAATATTGCAAAAAAGACAATGAGGAGGATCGTTAGTCAAGATAATTAAAAGTAATATGAAATTAAGAAATGCATAATAAGTGATAAGAACGGAAAATCATCAGAGGTGTATACAATAAAAAATGTTGTATAAGATGAGAAGTTTTGTTGTATGAATGATAATTAATATGCTAAAAACTAATAAAAATGATTTAAAAAATAAAATATAAATCCAGGGACATTAAATGAAATCTGGGGACATTCCGAGGATGGATTTTTCCTGGGGACAGATTTGTAAATCCGAGGACTGTCCCCGGGAAGCGGGGATGTCTGGTAACCATATGTTAAAAGGCAATTGAAAGTGATATGTTTGGAAAATAAAATAGTATTTTCTGCTTTGAAAGCTATTACTCTGAAGCATATAATGGCAGACATGGTGATGAATATATAAAGACAGCCTGAGAAATGTGATATTTAACCCTCATTATATACCTGCATGAATGGTGTCACTACAGAATGCAATATTTTAGTGTTTATCAAATTGAAGTGTGGCGTATGCTCAAGGGCTGTTTTGTAAAACAAATCTTGTTATTGCTTTTCATTTAGCATCTGAATCATTGAGAAGGCTCTTCAGATCATCCTAAACATGGTATATTTCACAAACCATGAGCATCCTCCTCTATTATTTTAATTTGTATGTTGAATGCAAATCAAAGATGTTCAATAAAAAATGAATAAAATATTACTCAAGAGGCTGGAATTTCAAATCAACTCTTTAAAGCAGGGATGGTGAAGTCTTCTTGGACTTCAACTGCCACGAGCCTTGACCAGTGTGGCCAGTGATCAGGGATGCTGGGAGTTACAGTTCGGTAACATCTGGGAGGGTCACAGGTTTCCCATCCCTGCTCTAAAAGATGCACATTTTTCATAATAACAGGGTAAAATAAGACAGGGCAACAAACAATGAATTGGACAACTTCATATTTTACTTCTTCCACCCATGACAGTAGTCGAGGGGCTGCAATTGAAAGAACTGAACAACAGGACACTGGGAGTGCTGGGAGTTTATGGAGCCCTCCCCAATTTGTGCCTGCAACCATGAGAGATAATTCAAGCAGTATTCAGGCGTATTATACCTGCTGGCGCTCTTGATATAGAACCATAGAGGGGAAGAACTGTGGAACTAGAAAGAGATCCAGTGATAGAAGGTGGAGGTTTTCAGACTTTCAATTGTTTTGTGAGACCCCTCCACAAAAAAAACACCCACCCTTATACACATTTCTGTTTGGCCCTTATGCCCTTTAAGCACCTGGCAATCTTATCTTATCTGCATGGTGACAGGTAAAGGAGGGATTGTTAAAAGGACAACCATGTGTGAAAAGGGTGATAACCATAAAAGCTGAGGAGGCTGGGAAGAAACATACCATTTAGGGCTCATCCAGACTTAGGTCTCAGCTATACAGATGCAAATGAAACATTTAAAGTTTGTTGTAAAGTGCATTATACAAATGTGACACTAGATGGCGATGGTGAGCTATGACAAATTCAATCTATTTTTCAAAACTTTTTTTTTTAAAGCATTTTCACCGTGTTTTTTATATGTGTCTAGATTCCACCTTACACATGTCCCACCCTTTCCCCTCTGGAAAAACCCAATCTTCACCATTGAATCAGAGCAATTGTCAACTGGGTTTTCCATGGGTTGATGTTTGCTTCAATTCAGCGCTAAAGAACAGGTTTTCCCAGGCAAAGCGGAAGTGCAAACAGAAAACCACTCGAACCCATGCTTCCCAGGCATGGGACTAGCGGAAATGAGGACAAGCCCTTAGTCACCCATTGTAAGTTTGGCAGTTTAAAGTGACGCGATCATTAAAAATAATCGCCCTTATAAGTTTACACATTCTTCCTGTCAACTCCCTGCAGTACTCACAATCGTATTTTAAGAGTTTGGGGTCCTTCCTTTAATCAGGTGATCCTAGGTGGGGCTCAGGGATGGAATATGGATTACTGGCACGGGGATGGGGCACAATATTGCACTGATAATCTCTCTCTCTCTCCTATTCTAAGGCCCAATTCTCGAAATGGAAACCCTTGTTTTTGGAGCTACAATGTTTTGCAATTAAAAACATGCCTCCGTTTTGTTAGTCTCTGTAATGCATATATACCCCCCGCCCCATTTTTACAGTGGGCAAAACCACTGTTCCAAGTGAGGTGAGGTGGTTACATCCACTTGTCCTTCCCCAATTACAGCCCTGCATCCTACACAGGATTCTATTAATTAAAAATTGAACCTCAGTTATCAGGCAATTATGTAAAATGCATTCATTGCCAAAGGCAATTGGGGGGAGAAACGTAATTTGTGATAATGAGTCTTTCCACTTATCACCTATGATTAATAAACACAATAGAAATATCATAGGTCACTAAATAGCATCGGGGTGTTTTTAACAGTAGAATGACTAGCAATCTACAGGTGAGGGGGAAATGCTAAAAACTGAAACCTATTCAAGTGTCACTCCACCAAGGTGAATTACAGTAATCAGTGAATTTGAATTTGGTCTTTATGTATTTGCAAGGCCTTAAAGAGGAACATCTTGCGGGAAGAAAAGATTTCACACAGAGAGCAAACTCTGAACGAGGAAGGCTTAGAAGTAATCTGCAGACTGCTGATCTTTAATTGCCACACAGCGACACACAAATGTTCACAGAAACTATAGATAATTTTGCAAATCTCTCTTTTTCCCTTCTCTTCCATTGCACCATCCTTAGCAAACTACAGCTCCCATAGTTCTATGGGGGAAACCATGGCTATTTTAAAATGGTACCATAGTGCTTTAAATATATGATGTGGATGTGGACAGAATCTGTCCACCCTTTCTCCTTACTACCCCCTTTTGGGCCCTCCATATCACACATAGATGTATGCCGATAGCACCCATCTTATCCAAGTCCCCAGTATGCAAGCTATATATCTCTGTTTATATTTCTGTTCAGGCAAAGTGTGTGAGGCTGGCAGTGAAGAGAATAAGGGAATGAGCAGGGTATTTCCTCTTGCATGTACAAGTCTTGCTTCGGGATGCTTGAGGAATCTGCACAGCAAAAAGTCATTTTCAGATGTTATGAATTTACACTATATGCAATTATTCATGAATCAGACTGTCTATTCCCACAAGTCCATGTGCCATTTCAAATCCTAAAATGCAGTTTCAGATATCCGTGGTTAAACTATATCTATATAATAGTGCAACAACAATAAATCGTAGAATTGTAGGCCCATAAGGGTCATCCAGTCCAACCTGCTGCAATGCAAGAATCTTATGCCCAACATGAGGTGTGCACCTATGACTCTGAGATTAAGAGTCTCTTGCTCTACCAGCTGAGGCTTGCTGATCAGAAGGTCGGCGGTTTGAATCCCCGCGATGGGGTGAGCTCCCATTGCTCGGTCCCTGCTCCTGCCAACCTAGCAGTTCGAAAGCACGCCAAAGTGCAAGTAGATAAATAGGTACCGCTCCAGCGGGAAGGTAAACGGTGTATCCATGTGCTGCTCTGGTTCGCCAGAAGTGGTTTAGTCATGCTGGCCGCATGACCCAGAAAAACTGTCTGCAGACAAATGTTGGCTCCCTTGGCCAATAAAGCGAGATGAGCGCTGCAACCCCAGAGTCGTCCGCAACTGGACCTAATGGTCAGGGGTCCCTTTACTTTTACGGATCTTCAAAGATAGGCCTTTAGTTACACTAGAAATTATCAGGTTAAACCCATAGAGAAAGGAGGCACACTAGCTGGTCAGGAGGAGAGGAAGAGAAAGTCGGAGATGCAGAATTTTATTCAAGGGCATTCAATTTTATTCCTAAAAAGGAGGAACAGGAGAGAAGAAAGGAGGATGCTGGATTGAATCAAAGGAGAGATCAGGATTAAAAGATGGTGAAAATACGTGCCTATAAAAACGTGTTAATTATTGCACAAGGTTTGTGTAAATACCATGCATATTCAAATATAGTGGTATCTCTGGTTACGAACTTAATT